AAAAGAAAGTAGTACATAAAAAGTTTTCAAGATGTTAGCTGTCTTTAAAGAAAGTGATTACCCACTGTCCTTATAATAATAAGAGTAATGAAAGCTCTGTTTATCCTAAAAATAAGAAATTTTAAATTTCTAAATTATATAATCATAGTTATAGATCAGAAAGGACTCACTGCTATCTAGTACTGCAGTTCTCAACTTGAGTTTTCCAAAGTGGGATTTCAGGAAAAAATCAACCCTAGAGCCAGTCTATATCTGTGTTCATATCCTCACTTAGCAAATTCCTGGTGAGAGAAGCAGTCTTCCATGGGTTCTAACTGTCCCGATGCATTCTGGCTGAGCACAGCAAAAATGAAAGGCCAAGACCACCGCTTACCAAGGCCATATCTCAGGGTATGTCTGTGATGAGAGCCCTAAAAGTTGAGATAATTTCTTCCCCAAAGAGCAGGTTTTGCTTAGACATGCTCTGAGTATGCCTATCAAAGATTCATATATGGAGAAACCTGCCTTCAGTTTGACAGTGTCAGGAAGTAGGAGACCTTTAAGAGTCGGAGCCTAGTGGGAAGTCACTGTGGGCTCTGCCCTGGAAAAGGCTAAAGGATTGCTGTTAGATCATGAGCTGCTCAGGAGAGACTCCTCACCACCACTGGCTTCTGACCTGGAGGTGTGTGTGGCTCCTTCTCACATGACCTCCCACCATTACCATGAGCTACAGTGGAGCCAGGGAACTCTCACCAGGCTGGCACTGTGTCTTTTCATTCTTGAAAACTGTGACCTAAATAAACTTGTTTGCTCTATGAGTTTCTCAATAGAAGCTATTGATTTATAGTCACAGAAAACAGACTAATATATCTACCTGTGTCACTCCCGCAGACTTAGAGACAATAGGAAATTGGCATAAACTTGAAGTTCTGGCTACTTCTGTCATGAGTCCCTCGTCTCTGGCCAGCATACTAGAAACAGCAATAGGTAAATGTACTCCTATGCAAATAAGGTAAAATCCAAACTTTTGAAGTTCTAGATTCTTACTAATTGTTTAACTTCAAGATACAAAGTTTCTTAAATCTCATTTTCCTCATTTGTGAAATGGGTTATTGATAGCTTCAACATCAAAGGTTCTCTTACGAATTAAAAAAAATATTGCATAGAAAAATACTTAGCAAAAAGTTCCAGGCCCACAGAAAGTACTTAAAATGTTATCCAACTACTAACGGACTATTTCTAAATTTCAAAATGGCTAGTGATAATTATACAATAGTAATGCCTCCAGGTGTTACATAATTACTTATTTTATTCAATAGAAAAAATAAGGGTTGGGGATATACCTCAGAAGTACAGCACCTGCCTGGCAAGTGCAAGGTCCTGAGTTCAATTCCGGGTACAAAAATAAATAAATAAAAAAGAAACAAGAAAAAGCATTTCAGAAATATAACATAAAATTAGCAAATATTTATGCTAAATTATTTAATTCTTATGGATAATTGATGTTATTGTGCTTATTTTACAGGTAAAGAGACTTGAATAATGTTTTGAATACCATCCAGCAAAAAAGAAGATCTGGATCCAAATCTAGTCAATTTGGATCCAAGCTTTTAATTGTGATATTGTGCCCCGCTTTTGTGTGAGAATTTATGGAGATCTGGGAGAACAGGTAAGGGTTCTGGTAATTAAGGAAAAATCTAGGAATCACTGATCTTAATCTAGATTAGGAGACTGAACCTCTAGGATGCCTAATGCAATGTTAGTGAAGTCAGATTCAAGGGTTAAATTATAGTCTTAAAATCAGAAATTTTCTTTGATTTTTTAGTGAGAAACATGATTGATTTAAAAATTGAGTAGAAAATTCAGCAGGGTTTTGTTTTCTTCACCCTTCTAGGATAAGCAAATAATTACAGTGATTCCTAATACTCCCCAGATGTATATTAACATGCTGTACTCATACTTATAAATATGCATAAACTTTCAGTTAGTAGATATTAAATGTCAAAGACAAAGCACAGATATCACAGTGTGAAACATAAAATGTTGTGAAATTCCAGCCTAAACAGGTAGTGATAGCATCATAGCTATGGCCTGAAAGGTTTTATTAATATGTTTCATTACTATTATTGTTAATTTTGTTGTTGTTAACCAGGGCCTCGGCAACTTGGCAAGCACTCTACCATTGAGCTATATCTCCAACCTTTCTTTAAAAAATTAATTTTATTTAGAGATAGGATCTTGCTAAGGTGTCCAGGCTGGCCTCAAACTTGCAATCCTCCTGTTTCAATCTTCTGAGTAACGCAACTGCTGTTTTTAAGAGAGCAGTATATGCTTACAAAATAAATAAATAAAGTAAACCTAATGGAAGGAGATAAAATAGAACATAAAAGTACCATCTTACTGGCCTGACACCTTAACTTTATTCCTCAGTGTTTGGAAGTGTTCAAAATTTATCTGTCCAGAAATTATCTATAATTATATATTTAATCATATTTGTTTATGCTCATGTGTCATTAGTCTTGATTGTCAACTTGGCTGGAATAGGTTGCTCCTGGGTGCTTTTAGGGTGCTCTTGGGAGACAGGCGGGAACTCACCTCAGCAGGATGAGTTCACAGTTGCATGGGCCTCATTGTAGGAAGGAGTCCCAGGAGCATGGCCTGGGGACGCTATCTGGTCCTGGGCCCCTATATCTCTGGCTCTTCCCCTGCTCTGCTTCCCAAATGCCATGAGTTACACAGCATTTTCTTCACTATATCCTTCTATTTTTCCCACATCTTGGAGCCAACAAAGTACAGACTGAGACTCCTGAGACCATCAGCCCAGATAACCCTTTCTTATTTTTAAGTTGTGCAATCAGGTATTTTGTCCTAGCAACAGAAAAGGCCAGTAATATAGCTTATATTGGTACAAATTCAAATGTATAAACCATATTATCATGTATTTTAAAGCCTCGTACTCTTTCACAACTTTTTAAAATTTAATACACATATTTCTTAACATTTATTTCTGCATAAACCTATTTTTCCACCTCATTCCTGTCAACTACACAAGGGTCAGCCATCTTCAGCCGTTTAACCTACTACAGACATTTAAGCTGTCTCCAGTTCCTTGCTGTTAAACACAAAGTGCTACAATAATCGTCTTGTACATATTACTCTGTATACACATGTAAGTATCACATGAAATATTACCTAGAATTAGAATTAATAAACCAAAGGATATGCAGAACTAAATTCTGTCAAATCCCATCAAACTGTTTTGCAAAAAGGAAGCATCATATAGTGTCTTTTCTCTTACAACTTCATCAGCACTTGTAGCTTTTCAAGTTTTTCATGATAAAGCTACAACTTGTTTGAAAAGGTAATACATAAAATGATTAAACACAAAGTGCTACAATAATCGTCTTGTACATATTACTCTGTATACACATGTAAGTATCTCCTACCTGCTGAGAAATATTACCTAGAATTAGAATTAATAAACCAAAGTATATGCAGAACTAAATTCTGTCAAATCCCATCAAACTGTTTTGCAAAAAGGAAGCATCATATAGTGTCTTTTCTCTTACAACTTAGCAGGTTTCCTCCCATGCTTATACTGTTTTATGATGCTTAACCAAATGTCCTGTTTTTGTGCACTGTGTTTCCCATCATATATTTGATATTGCATTGGAGTCCTATTTTACTATACTGAAGCTTTAAATTGTTAGGTAGTGAAATTTATTCACCTTTTTGCTTACTAAAGTTTCCAAATTTCATAAAATGCTTAGGAACACCTCAAAACGAAACACATATACGTCCATCCACACATAGTGAGGCATGTCTGTAAATGATAGACTATGGTTTCAAGATACACAGTGTTAATTATAAACCTGAGAACAGTACCATATATACAGTGAAAGGTACGACTACAGAATTGTATGTACATAAGCTCATCTTTGGAATTGAACTTGAGGTGTGAAGGAGAATAAGTAAAAAGCAGATTTTCAATGTTCGTTCTTCCTATTTAAACTTTTAATCATTTTATGTATTACCTTTTCAAACAAGTTGTAGCTTTATCATGAAAAACTTGAAAAGCTACAAGTGCTGATGAAGTTGTAAGAGAAAAGGAGCTCTTCCACATTGTTGGTATAATGTAAAACCGTACGACCACTGGGGAAATTAGTGTAGAGATTCTTCAGAAAAACTAGAAACAAAAATTCTATTTGAAATTCATCTTGAAAGGGTTAAAGACATCATGTGACACTGAAAGATACACACCCATGTGTGCATGGGTGCAACTCATAATGGATTGATCTTGGAAGTGGCCCATATGTTCACCAACAGACGGCTGGCTAAAGAAAATGTAGCAGGTACAAAATGGGTTACTACTCGGTCATCAGGAAGGATAAATTTGAGTCGTTTATAGAAAAATGGATGCACCCTGAGACTATAATACTAAGTAAAATAGACCAGACACAGAAGGTTGATTATTACACCATTTCCTCTTTCATGAGATACCAAAGTATAAATCACTTAAAGACCAAAATAAAAGAGATTATAGGAAACAAGGTCGCAGATGATTTGATGGGAGGGGGATCTGGAGATGGAGGGAGTTGGGGGGAGGGAAATAAAAAGGATTAAAAGGTAATACGTATCCTTGCCAACTCTCCATGATGAATGTGTTCATTGTGCGTGGCAAATAACTACTAAAAATAAATAAAATAAAAAAGCACTCTCTATGATGACTATACAAGGAAGCTCTCCTTTTCGCTTGCAGTGCGTGATTTCATTTCTTATCTTTTAAGGCTTGGATCACCTAGATTATGAGTGTAGGTAGTCAGTTAGGGACTCAGTCTTGCCCTCTTCCAGTCAGCCTGGCCTACTGAAAATGTGAATTTACTACGCAGAGATTACAGAGATTACGTGGAGAAAAGGAGCCTGCCTGCTGAGGAAAGTTGCAGAGCCCTGGAGTTACTAGCCTGAAAAGTATTTCGAGGACAGGCTCCACGTTTTCTAGGGTCTTGTTTCCATGCTGTTACCTCGGGATATTCACTCAGGGTGAGAGGCGATGCACACCTCCCAGCTCCGAACTGCAGCTTCGGAATCCCAAATCAGAGGCGGAGCTAGAGCAGGAGCGGTTTTCGGGACTTTGAAAGCCCAGGCTAGAGTTCTTCAGCGGCCCAGCAGCCCAGAACCGGGCCGACTGGAGTCACCAGCTCAGTGCTGGGATAGGCGGCCGGCCAAAGGCAGCCCGACTCGGCCTCCTACCTGCTGAGAAACGCAGCCCCGCGTACCAGGCGGTTCCCCAGCTCCCCGCAAGCTGCCGGCCCTCGCGGGGAGCGTCTGTTGCCGGCCGTGTCCTAGCAACGCTCCGGCGCCCCGCCCACCCGGGCGAGGTCCGGGAGCTGCACCGACCCGGCTCCCAGGAGTTCTGCTGCCCTGGTCAAAGGGCACCGCTCTCCCATCCAAACTTTAGTAGCAATTTAAGCGTACTTTTAAAAAATGTTTAATGAGAGAGCATAAGTATACAGCACTAACTTCTCGATTTTATTAATTTTAAAGCTCAGCTTTTGGTTTCTTGGCAGCCCAAGAAAAAAGGGAGACGACAGTTATTAAATAGTTGCCCATTTCTAAGGACAAACAAAATATTTTCTAAAATTGCAAATGGTCCTCCTCATAATTAGCTTCTTTAAGGAAGTTTTGGAAGAACGCAGTAGTTTTGGGGGACGGATCAAGTATGTTCCTGTTCAAAATGCAGTAACAAATTTCATGTGACTATCGCCTAATAGTCTCAAAATAGTGCTTATTGTCATTAAGCACCTTACATAGATTGCGAACTTAGTCTTCCCAAAGATTTTATCAAAGGAGAGCTGCTATTAGTTGCATTTTAGTAATGAGAAAACTAAGACACACAAAAATTAAATTAAAAAAAAAAAAGAATTAAACCCAGGCAGCGCTCAGATTTTAAACCATTAATTTTTGTAACTATGTTTAACAGCCTAAAGTATTTTTAAAAGATAATGGAATTAGCAACACTAAAGCTTTTCTACATGTTGTGTGAGTCTATTCCCTCATTTACGATGGTCTTCACTTCTTTATACCATGCTCCTAAAATTGTACCTTCATCTCTCCTGTAACTTCCTGATGTTCAATGCTGTTTTTTTTTCCAGTCAACGCATTTTAAAAATGCTTATTTCTTATGAGAGTATGGAAGGCATATTATATTCTCAGATAAAATTGATTTTGTTTTAGTAATGATTTTAAGAGAAGCAAAAGCTAGCATTTTATTGACTTCTACACATTCAGGAAAAAGGTGATAGAAACAATCAATAATCTTTGTCTTTCATAGACCAGGTCTACCAGGTAGACCTCGTATAGAGGTTTGCAAAAAGGTTTCTCCAAACACCAACTTCTATTTCCAAAATCATAATGTATTTTGAATCCTATTAGTAAATCTTATTATTACAAATAAATCCTATTAGTAAATCTTAATCCCCACTTTTCTAGGTATCCTCTAAAATTTATCGTTCTTTGTCATCCATGTTGGGGGCCGTAGGAAAACACTGGGTTACAAATATAGGCAAGAAACTAGAGAAGAAAGAGGGGTAGTGGAGATATTTCATAGAATTAAATGTAACGATACCCATTCTATGTTCATATTTCATATATTTTGCTATCATTTTCCATTTTCACCCTACATGTATGCATTTTCTGAGAGTTTATTGTCCAAAATGGCTTATCTTTGTCAAGAAACATCTACCTCAGTATGTTTATATAATAATCATTAGTTTTAACTTTCTTGAACTATACTTTTACAAAGATGCCACCTAGTGGCTTTATGAAATTGAGCATCTTAAAGTAGTTCCCTTATTACTAAGCAAGCATCTTACATAGATTTCTAATTTAGTCCTTACAAAGATTTTATTAAACAGAAACTGCAATTAGTTCCACTTTATTAATGAGAAATCCAAGACAAAGGTTAAATTTTTTAAAAAGGAACAGGATTAAATGGGTTAAAACATATCATAATGTAGTTGGATATTAGGAAAAAAAGTATTTGAGTAATTATTTAGAAAACTAAGGACCTGAAAAGTATGCTTTGGAAATTATCTATATGAATTCAACTTGGGTCTTTATTGTGAGCTGGATAACAGAAGTACAGGCTCATCATCACTTTTCTGAAACTTTTTCAGTTGGTCCAATCTGTTTGATAGTATTTAGCTTTGAAAGGTAATATGGGCATATGCTTTACATTAGGTAACAATTCATGAATTTGGAGATAAGATCCCAGAGTCAAACACATTAATACTTCTGTGGCAAAATATTCATATTATAGTGGGATAAAGGCCATAAGTATCTTTGCATCTATTGAGGTCAAGTTTGTTTCCAAATGAGGTATGAAAACCTTTCCATTTTCAGAAAGTTTTGAAATTCAGATAAGAAATTGTGGACCTGTTTTACCTTGAAGAAAGAGAATCTACCCTGCAGTTAGAGGAGGTAAAATGCAATATTCTGTAATAAAAGAGCAATAATAATCTTTAATAAAACTAATGGGGGGTGAATATAATCAAAATATATTATACAAAATGAAATCTCCCAACATGTGAAATTATCTGGGAAGGCAGGGCAAGGGAGGCTCCAGGGGTAATGATTAAAGTCTATCGTGGCCATGTAGAAATCTGCCAAAATGAAACTTAACCAATATGCACTAATTTTAAAAATGTAGAAAAAAAGCTTAAGGTTCACCTAAAAAAATTGAAAATCATGAGAATTTTTTTAAAAAATCACAGCAATGCTTTTTCTTTACTCTCATCTATCACAAATTACATTTAAGTGCACCATAAAAAAGTTATCTATCCTGACATTAAAGAGCACTCTGAAAACTGTTAGCAATGTATAGCGAACCCAACTTGAGTTCTATGACATGTTCAATATCTGTAACTTTTTTGTGTGTAGTTTGTCTCTGTATATGAATCTGTCTTCTTCACATGTTTAGTATCCTTCATGGAAACGAGTTAGTGCCGTGCAGTCTGGATCCCTTGTATGATTCTTCTGAGCACTCTCAGTCCCTCTTAGGTGTATAGTACGTCGGAGAAATAAACTTGTGTTTAAGACATGAGACTTAGGAGTTGCTTATGCTAAATCACTTTTTCATTCTTTTTTTTTTTAATCTGGAGCTTTCGCTTATTGACTCTAAACAGATTCCAAATGCATTTCTATAGTTCCCATTGATATTTGAATCTCTTACAGTCCAGAATTTCATGAAATGTGACTTTTATTGGGAAAGAAAGGAAGGAACAAATAAATGAAGGAAAGAGAGAAAGACAAACTTGTATGTTCAGCAATATGGTACATGACCCTAAACTCCTGGGTGTTAGGTTTTGTTTAAATGACAGAACCTAGTATTAAAAAAAAAAAAATTCACATTAGATTATATGTAGAAGTTTCCATGTATTGACATTGTTGATATTTCCTCTTTGAAAAATGACACATTCATGGATTTTTTTCTTCCTGGATACTTTTACCAGCTTAATTAGCCTCTGATTTTTCTAATTACACTTAGGATTTGAAGCAGGAGTGATCGAAAGTTCAAGTTTCACACAGGCAACTCTGTCTAAAAATAAAAAGTAAAAAGGGCTGGGGATGTGGCTCAGTGTGAACACCCACCATTCAATTCCAGTACAGGAAGAGGGGGTAAAAGAGGAAAAGTCAAAAGTCAAAAAAAAGTAGGTAAGTTCCCTTTCCTGTACCAATTCTGAGAAGCCAGAGGAAAATAAAAGGACACAGTCAAACCTGATGCCCGATACATCCTATTCTATGCGGATGGCAGATTAGCTGCCTAGCTCCTCCTCTTACAGAACTATGGCACCCTTGACTGCTGACCCTTGTTCAGTAAGGTCCAGGACAGTCACAGTGTCATCCGTATGAAAGTACTGCATAGTATGCTATACGTTCTCCTAAGTAAGAGCCATTTCATTCCAAAGGAGATAATTTGCAAAAATTGAAATGCTCCGAAGTAAGTCCAGATGTGGGAGGGAGTATCAACTCTGTCATTTTCTATTCCGAAAATGACTCAAATTAGTATAGTAGGCACTTAGCAGCCCTGAAAATGCATGAAAGAGCCACCATCTTCAAAGTGCTTGATCAGGATGTTTAATCTAAAAGTTGATAGGTAGAAAGATTTGATGGATTAAAAGCCATCAGGTATGTGGTAGATTAATTAATGGTCAACTTGAGTGGCAACAGCCAGCCGAACTACATAAACATAGCTCTATGCATGGAAGACTCATCTGAGGATTGTGCTGGAAAGCATATGAGGAGAGGCAGACTACATGCTACTTATTTCCCAGGAAAAGCTCTGCTGTGGCTGTCTTTTCTGATTCAAACTTGACTGTTTCCATTATCGGAGCTCAGGTCCTCGCTGGCCCTGGGGATGACTGCTGTTCCCTTTGAGGGAGCTCTGGTCTTTACCTGTCTTGAGCACCACTACCTTGCTCCAATGCAGATCCCTGTCTGCTAGCAGAGCCTTCACTTTTCCTAGCTTCCACTACTGGCCCTTGCGTCTTTCTGGTCCAATCTTTGATATGGTCTTACATGAGACACTGCCACGAGCTCTAGGCCTCTAGCTGGACCCATGGAGGATAATGCTGTCTTAGTTACTTTTTACTCGTTACTGGGACAAAACACCCGACACCCAAAATAAAGGACGGAAAGGTTTATTTCTTACAGTTCTTGGAGGTTTCAGTCCATACTCATTTGGTTCCAAGGCAGCATGGCATGGTGGGGCAGCCATTCATGGCGGATGCAAACAGCAAGGGAGGAGCTGGCAAGAGACATATCCTCTTCCCACCATTACATCACATCCTGGCTCCACTCCTAGGCAAGTGTAGCACTCACACCACCAATCAGAGCACTAGACAATGAACCAATCACAAACCCGTAATTGCATGAGGCTTGAAGGCCACTGATATAAATCATAACAAATGCCATGGGCTCTGGCCTTCGACTGGACTTGTGTTGTAGAACACTGCCAAGGTATTCAGGCTTTTAGCTGGATTCTTTAGGTCTCCAAGCACACAGAGAGATCTCTTGCACTGTTCTACATGTGACTTTTTGGGTAAATACTATGAGGTAATCCTATAGATTTATGTGTCCTGAATTAAACCTGTTCCCTTGCAAACTCTGACTACAGGTGTAAGGTTGTGTGAGCCATTAATAAATGCCAAAGAATGATGAACCAAGTTACAAATGTCTTTTAAAAAAGTATCTATGAAGATCTCTGCAAAAAATGAAATCCAGTTTACTATTTCTGTTCATATTTGTTCATTGTACATACTTTAATAGGAAAACTCAAAGCAGCAAGATCTAGCTTTCATGGATACAACTCCTATAGCATGGTAGGAATGACAACATCCCAAGTACAACAGTAAAGATTAACATTTTAGTTGGGAACAAGAGCTCTAGAGCCAGACTAATTTCAAAATTTAGCTCCAAATTTTATTAGTTGTCTAACCCTTTGATGTGCTGTTAAATCCATCTCTTTGCCTCAGTTTCTCCAGCTTCTCACGTTACACAACTGCAAGGCAGAACTCAGGCTGGCTTCTGGTTTCCTTATTAGGACAATGGAGATAATAATTTGCAGTATCTCATTCTTTAGGTTTGTGGAACAGATCTAATGAGCAACAATAGTAAAGTACTTAACAGTACCTAGAATTCATATTTAAATCTCATAAAACATTGTTTTATATATTAGCCATTATTCTACAAGTAGCAATTCTAACACAAACACCAATAAACTTTTCTTTTAGCAATAAAGCAATAGTAGTATTTTTGGTAAAACATAAACACTCCTCAAAAATCATGAGAGAAATGGGACTCAAAGTGTGACAAAGGCAAGGCAGACCAATTTTGTTTTTGTGTACTCAAAGGACCTGGAAAAAATGGTTGGTTATAACCTTGACTTGAAAGCATCCATGCACACATGCTTTAGGATCATATATTAACCTTAATAAATACACTAAAGTAAATGTCATAACTGAAAGTCATAAATCATAAATTCTACTCGCTTTAAGAAGTAGGAACAGGCTGCCTGAGAGCCCAACAACTTGCCTCAACTTCATGACTGAATTCATAATCACAGGAATGAGCCTCAGGCTTAGATCACAGGAATGAGCCTCAGGCTTCTGACACCCCAGCACATCTCCTTTTGCCCATCAAACGCAGCTTTCTTGCAATCTGACTGCTAACGTCAACCCATCTGCCTCTGTCTGCTCGGTATTTACATTATAGCTTAGTGAGATGAGAAATGTAAAATAAAGAATGCAATTTTCTTATGATTGCCTGCCATAAAAGACATCAAAGTACATACACACATACATGCACACACAGTAAACAAATAGAATAAAGAATCCAAATCTGGACTAAAATAACATTTACAGTGGATTTGATAGTCAGTATATAATTGTATATTTAAATTTTATTTTACATATCAGATCACAGCCAGAGTTTAAAATTTTAATGTGAACTATTCCTGTCATTCCTGTCATTTTTCTCATAAGTTCATATTTGACTTTACTACCATACTTTAAATAGTGACCAATAAGTGTGTTTATATAAAAGTATCTTTTCTCCTTTTTTTGGATAAAGATATTACTGAAGATACTTCATCTTTTGATTATAGCATCTATAATTATGATTGGTGGGAATTTCCAATTAACTTTCAAACCCTCCCACAACCTTTTTGCTCAAAATACTGTCTGTGCAATAAACTGAGTGAATATGGTGCAAACCAAAAAGTGACTCACAAGACCCTACTGCCATAGTCACTGAGTTGAACAACTCCTAAATATCCTGTACCCTTTTTATTGATAAGAAATAACAGAAACACCTTTAATATAACAGAACATTTAATTATATCAGTTTCATATCAACCCATCAAAGACAATAAATGACAGTCATATTGGCCATTTCCACTGGTTGGCAGGAGGCTCTTCCACCAATGGCTCCCATGGTTTCCACTGTATCATTTTCCTTGCCAGACTTAGTTCACTTTCAGCCTGTTAATAAAAATTTTTCAAAGATCATTTAACTGTTTCACAGGTATTTTATTGAAATTTAACTATTAGAACTACTACTTTCATACTAATATCTTATTAAGTATTGGATATTGCAGTTCAGTTACCTTAATTTTTATAGGTAGACAATCATGAATAACAAAAGACTATCTTTTGATTTCTTGTCTGAGTGAAGTTTGCTATAACTTCTCAAGTTCAGCTCGTGAATTTTCAATCTTAATTGTGCTTCACAAGAACTTTCAGGATCAGTAGTATGTCTTTTCATTTGTATCACTGACTTCCAAACTTTACTTCACCATGGCTCACAGTAAAAAATACAATCAATGACCCCTCTTTATCCACGGAGAACCATTCCAAGACCACCAGTGGATGACTACTAAAACCATATGTGACACTGAACCCTATATGCTTTTCATATGTACACAAAACTGTGATAAAGTTTAATTTATGAACTGGGGATACAGTAAGTTCCAGACTTACATTCGAGTTGCTAACCTTCACTGTTATCAAGGAAGGGACCTCTTGCATTATGAACATTCATAGATGGGGACAAATCCCGGAAGTAGCTCACGTGTCTACCAGACATTGTCACAGTTGTGCTGCTGTTTGTTTACTGTACAGTGTGGTAGGATACAGTAGTATTATGCTCAAACTGAGCCTACGATATCTAGAAGCAAGAGGAAAAGCAGTGTGATGTGGAGGAGATACTAGGAAACTCAATGCATACATATTGTATAATGGGCCAAAGGATGTAAGACTCATCTTGTCATAGGTACTAACAAATCCAGTGTTCTCCCAGAACAGAACTTGGGCGTAAGTCAAGGATTTACTGTAATAAGCGACTGGCAACAAAACAACTAATAATAAAACAGTTGCTGTATTAAATAAGGATCATTTGAGCACAAGCCCTATGACATGACAGCTGATCTGATAATGGAGACTGTTACTAAGTAACTGATGAGTGGCTACTGTGTAAAGGGTAGCAACAGGGAACACAGCAATGATTTACATCCCTGGCAGGATGGAGTGGAATGGTGTAAGATTTTATCAAACTGTTACAGACAGCATGTAATTTTAAACTTACTTATTTCTACAATTTTTCACTTAGTATTTTCAGAACAGGTCTGACCACAGGTAATTGATATCACAGAACGATAAACTTTAAATAAGAACCACTACACCTCTTACATTGGGATCCACAATATACACATATAACTAAAACTAAAAAAATCGTTATCTTTACTGTGACATTTTCTATTGTATCTTCTTTTAAAAATGTTAATTTCATGACTCAATCATTTGAGACTTGACAAACTTAACAGTTTGGAAAATAGTGATCTGTAGAACACAGGGGAACACAACAGGTACACAGTAAGTATTTACTGACTGAACTGATCCCTTTTTCTAAATTATCCTGTATTTTAACTTGACACATAAAAACTATGCATATATACCATGTTTCAATATAGATGTCCAAGGTATAATGTTCAATAAGGGTAAGCCTAATTATTCCCCCAAACATTTATTCTTTCTTTGTGGTGAAAACGTACAAAATACTGTTTATCAGCTTTTGTTTTTCAATAAAAATTACATTATCATTAACTATAGTCACCCTTCTGTGCAATAACTTTTCTTTTCCCTCTTTTTGAGACAGGGTCTCACTATGTAGTTCAGGCTGACTTTGAACTCAGGGCAATCCTTCTGCCTCAGCCTCCCAGGTGCTGAGACCACAAGCATGTACCATCACACGGGCCAAAACACAGTAAGTTAACTGTTCTAACTATAAAAGCAAAACCGACTGACCAATTTTTCCCCATCCCTCTCATCTTACTATTCTCTAATGCTCATGAGACTAAAAACTAGGACACAGCCTAATTGGAAGTAGTATAGAAATTTCTTCTAAATCTTAAACACAGAAGTATGATATGATTCAACAGTTCCACTACTGTGCACATATCCAATGAAAGTCCTGTGGTGAAGACACACCAGCACTCCATTTTCTTTTTGAGTCCAGCTCTTTTACACAGCTCAGGCTGGCCTCAAAACTTGTGATCTTCTAGACTCAGCCAATTATTTTTTCTTGTATAAGTAGTAAGAGGGACAAGAAAAAGACTTAAAAGGAAAAATATTCTAAAGAAAGAGAATTTGCCCATAATATTCATAATCGTGTATATTTTAGTATTCATAACATTTTCATAACATTAGCAAAGAGATATTATAAAATGAATCTCTGTAAAATATGTACAGTTAAAAATTGTTTTAAACTTATCAAATAATTCACCCCACCTTCCTGTCTCATACAGGGGGCTCCCTACCACTACGCTGTATTGTTGTCCATTTTTTATTTTTTTATTTTCAGACAGTCCTACTCAGTTGCCCAGACTTAGTGTCACTCAAACTTGTACTCTTCAGCCTCAGCCTCCTCAAATCCTGGGATTATAGGCCTGCTCCAAGTTTAAAATAAATAACTGTATCTAAAAAAGTAACATTACTAAAAGTAACAATGTGCTACTAATCTAAGGCTATCAAGAACTTGCTGATTAAGTGGAAAGAGAGCATCAAACTGCAATCTTCTTTTAAAAAAGCCTCACTAAAGTCAAGTTATAATCAATGACACAATTTGCCATGACTATCTGATCAGTGAATCTATAAATTCAGTTTCCTTTCTTCTTGGAATATCAATTTTGTACCCCTATATAAAACGAAAAACTGAAATCAAATATCTAAATGTTGAATTTTTCCTTTACCTGAAGAATCACCTCCTCTATTTGGCCAAGTTGAAGTCGGTCTTCTAATTTTTTAATATCTTGTTCCTGTAATTTCAGGAAAAGAAAAAAAAATTAAACATAGAAGCACAATATCTGAATGTTTCAATATCTTATATTGAAACTCATATATAAAATGCACTTCTAATATAATTTCTCTTTCAAGCGAAGTCTTCACCAAATATTTAGTGAAAAGCCATTATTTCGCTGTTGTTTTATTATTTTTCCATCTAAATACTGAAAGTACTCCACATTTATTGACATATTTAGCAAAAGACAAATATATCTAACTCAGTCTTTGTAAAGTACGTTTTAAAAATCACTTTGCTTTTCTTAATATTTTTCATATTTCCTAAGAATGAACATTAAAAATAAATGCTATTCTATGATATAGAAATTCCTCTTCTGTATATCAAATAAAAATGAATACATAAACAAATGATATTAGTAAATAGATCCACAGCATTATAGCTTGTGGCTCCAACACCAAAGAAATGAAGGGGGCCAGGGATTTAGCTCAGCGGTGAAACACCTGCCTGGCAAGCACAAGGTCATGAGTTTGATTCCCGGTACCAAAAAAAAAAAAAAAAAAAAAAAAAGAAATTATTAAAATAGAATGGATTAGTAAGCCGTGATAGTTCAATATAATAAAATAGTATACAGCAATGCAAATAAACTACAGCCATATACATCATAGATGATTCTCTTAAACATAATATTAAGTGAAAAGAAATGAGAAACAAAACAGTATATAATAATTATCCCAATTATATACAGCTGAAAAGAGTCAAAATAATGTCACCTTAGAGATTAGAATAGTAGTTATAGTTAGGAATGTTATGGTTTCTATCTAGATATTACCCAAAGGCCCAGGCAGTCAGAGGTGGGGCTGTTCAGAGGTGGCTGGATCTAGGGTGTGATGCTGGGATTAAGGATATGATGCGGGGACTGATTCATGGTGCAATGCTAGGATTAAGGCTGTGGCAGCCTCAGTGTGAGTGCTGCCCACCCTAGGGCAGGTAGCCTGTATAAAATACAAGGGACAGAAAGAGGGCTGCTGTAATCCTCCGCTGTTTCAGTTGCTGTTCTCGCTTGCTGCTTGCTACCTTCTGCCTGCCCGGCTTTCCTCTGATGCCCTTCTGCCATGCCACCCTGACTTGGAGCCAGCTGACTATGGCAGGGAACTCTACAAGTTATGAACTGCAATAAAAATTTTCCCTCCTAACTTTGGGTTTTGGGCATTTTGTCACAACAATAAGAAAAGTAAAGACAAGAGCATAGCATCTTGGGAGGAAAACGAGAGGGTTCTGATCTTCTCAAAATGTCCTATTTTGACTGGCACTGAGTTTGACCACGCTGTAAAAATTGATCAAGCTCTATCTTTATGGTTTTTATGTAATTATTCTTTCACAAAACATTTTTAAATGCTAATAAATATGCCATCTAGAATCAAGAACATGTATTTATTTTTCAGTAAACTGAGCTTTTTGAGATCTAAGAACCATGCACTATACACACATATGTAGACAAAAGTTTATTAGTGTGATTTTTATGCTCTACTACCAGAATAAAAAGGAAAAAAACAAGAATTGTTTGTTTTTTTATTATAGGAATTGGCATATTCTTGCCTTACAGAATCTGAATAGGCCAGGACAGTGACAGCAAATTCTTTACAGGTTTCAATGACACAAATGACTCATTACAGCATGTGTGCCATAAGTTTGCCACCACTGGCCTAGGACATCTGCACGGTTTATTTCTTCACTGTCTTCCAAACCTCTGCTCAACTATCACCTTCTTAATGAGGCTTACTCATAACTTATACTGTTGTACACTGAACAATGTGCCACAAAATATGTAATTATTAATCTGCGGGGCCTGTGAATGTTATATGGTAAATACTGTGGGAGTGTTAAAGACCTTGATAGGAGAAAATTTTTCCTTGGCTTAATCTTGTTGGAAATCATAAATATTGTTATAAAAGATGGCAGAGGGAAATTACACACAGAAAAAGAGAAAGGTAATCAGCCATGTAGGCAGAAATTGGAATGATGCAACAAAAAAATCAAAGAATGCCAAGAAGCTGGAAGAGATAAGAATAAATTCTAATGCACAGACACTGAGAAACATAGTCCTCATAACTTGATTGGGCCTCTGAAACCAATTTCTGACTTTTGGCCTCCAGAAATAAAAGACAGTAAATTTCTATTATTTTAAGTCACAAAGTTTATGGTAACTATTATAAAGCAGCCATAAGAAGCTGATACACATTATATGTATCAAGACATCCTATCATGACACAAATCATTTTCCCTTGCTTTATTCTCCACAGCTTGTTACCCTTTAACAAGTATAGCACTATGTAAGTACAACAATATGCACAATACTTATTTTTGACTTGTCTTTTTGTCTCCCATTGTTAACATATCATTTCCATATAGCCAGGAATTTTACCTGTTTTGCTCATTGCTATGTGGGTACATGCTTCCATGCCAAGAACTACACATGGCAGTGAATGTTTCTTGGTTGAATAAATACATTTTAAAATAATGGAAAAGAAAAGAAAACAGATAAGTATGTTTCAGAAAGACTATTTAGCACAGAATTAATTCAGCTACAAAGCCTAAAGTAAAAAAAAAATAAGAAAACTGGACACTGTTATAAGACATCAAGAAGGGTAAAGTAAAGCAAGGAAATATTAACAATTATTTTCAATTCAGAAAAGACCTATGTATAATTTATAGTTTCTCTTGTGAAAATCAATCAATAGTATAATTTTTGTTTACCAGTCATATAATGCCATAAAGCTTTGTAATGTACTTAATAATTTACTAAGTGTTTACTATATCTATGAGATCAAATCAAACTGTTTACATATATCAATTCATCCTAGCAGTATGTGTTCAAGACAGGCATTACTATACCCAAGTTACAGATGAAGAAACTGAGACAAAGAAAATGAGTAATATGTCAAAATATTCAGCAAATATTAGAATTGAGATAAAAATCTTGCACAGGACACAGCCAATATTTTTTTTTACCAATATTTGATTACTATCTTCTCAGTAATAAATTTACTGTCATTTCTTCTTTATGTTTAGTAAATATGTAGATGCCTTATCACAACAATATTTATGTTGGGTATATTGAAGCCTGTATATTGGGTTAAAAGAAATCTCTGATAATTTTATCAAAAAACAGGAAATCAGAGACACAACTATTATGAAGTATTTGGAGTTGTTATAACTGATTTGTATTTAATCTTTTAAGTGAACAAATATTTCTTATGGATTTTATGTGCCAGGAACTATCCCAAGATTCCTAGGATATAAAGATCACTACACTATCATTAGGAAGTAGCTTACAACTACTAGAAGAGGCATGAATAAAGAACAGTTTGAGAGATAAAACTCTATTCAGGAGGTAAGAAAAAGTTTCACAGAGGAAGTAAAGACTTGAGAACTGAGTAAGAACTGTGTGTTAGTCCATCTGTGCTGCTTTTACAAAATATTTAACGCTAGGTAATTCATTCAAAAAATTTATTTTCTTATAGTTCTGGAAACAGGGAAGTCTAAGATCAAGGCACTGGTAAATTTCGTTGTCTGGTAAGGACTGCACCTTCAGGAGGTGAGAAACATTATTGTATTCTGACATGATGGCAATAGAGGAAAGACAGAATTAAACTTTGCATGAATTGTCATTTATTTATACGAGATTAAGCTCATTAAGATAGAGAAGATCTCATGGCCCAGTGATCGATCAATACTACCTCACTGACCACGAGGGCTCAACACCTGAGTTTGGAAGGAGACATACCCAAACCATAAACTGCCAGACAGATAAGATGCAAAGGGCATTCCAGGAAAAGAGAAAATAAAAACAAACACAGTAAAAAAACTCCATGGAATCTACAGAATTGCCAGCAGCTTGATAGTACTGAAGTATAGGGTACAACAGGAAATGACAGAACAGGATGGCAAGATGAGACCTTGGGTGACTTTACATGCCACGCTAAAAGCCTTATCCTGTCACAGTCATGGTTCCTAAACACGGTTGACTCTATAGTAAAATCATGCAAATAAAGGTCATACAACAAGCTCTGCACAAGTCCTTAAACTCGCCCTCTGAGAAACACTGAAGCAAAATGAAAGATTCTGAGAAGTAACATAAGCACTATTACTGACAGTGTGGGACACATAATTAAGATGGAACCATTTCAATTAGTTAGAATGAAACTTAAATAGCAAAGAAAAGCATTTAGGAGCTTATTAAGTATAGACATATTAACAGTGAACTATTCCTTGTTTACCTTGGCTATGTGAGCATACAAAAGAATAGGGTAATAACTAAGTACAAATATAGACATAGTTTTTTTTTTTCTAAAATGGGAACACACTAAAAACACCTTGAGGTTACTGAAGATGCTGATAAAATGGGAAAGGCTAAAAAGAAAACACACAGAATAAATGATTAAAAGGCAACAAAGTTATTGGGAAGAACACAAAAAGGTAGAGCTGAACAGATTCATCTCAGGAAAAGAAAAGGGAAAACTTATTCTGAGATTTTTAAAAAGTGTTGTTTTCTCAAGCAAGACATTAAAATGAAAGAAATGTGAACTTCTTTAGAGACTTTAATCTATAACTTCCAGAATTACCAAGATAAATATTCCAAATAAACTGTACTGTTCTGCTGCATATCTAAGGAGAAAGTAATTCTCACTAACTGGGAGTTTAATAATCTAATAATAATAAGTAAGATCACCTGAGCTCATATGTAAAATACCCAGGGTCTATGAACACTATTTTTGATAATTACATGAAGTTCATAAATTTGAATGTGAAAATTTAACAATAGTGCAAGAGTTTGGTGTGAAAGACCAGCAGTAGTCTACTGTATGCTTGTCTAGCACTTTTGATTCAAAAACTAAAATGCTTGTTAGTTTGCTTGGCTGCAACAGCAAAATACCACAGACTGGGTGGCTTAAGGAACAGCAATTTATTTTCTTACAGGCCTGGAGACTAAAGTCCATGATCAAAATGACAAGTGGGCTGGTTTCTGGTAAGGGCTCTTCCCCTTAAGTTGAAGGCAGCTGCCTTCTTGCTGTATGCTTGTATGGCCTTTCCTTGTTGTGTGTTCATGGAGAAAGACAGCGAGCATGATGAGTTGTCTGTGTCTCCTTTTCATGAACACTACAAAACCAGGGCTCAAGCCTTATGACTTCAAATTATTTCCTTATTGGTGCCATCTTTAAATAAAGCCACACTGTGTATTATGGCTTCAACATATGAATTTCCCAAGGAGACAAACATGTAGTCTGAACATAATGCCTGATATAATTTTTGATCATTAAGAGAAACTAATTTGATCTTCTTTATGAAGAAAGCACTCTTTAAAATAATTTTTAGATAGTTTATTTAAAAACAACAAAGAAATCCAAAATATAAACAAAGAACAAAACAAAAGACAGATAATAGAAAGTAGGCAGATAGATTTTCCTCAAATGAGGCAGGGATCAAGAAATGGAAGCTGTAAATGGGGAAGACATTGGGAATAAAAAATGAATTAAGATATGTTATGTACACATACCAATTCCCCACAAGGAATGTGATCTTTACATACCGCAAACATACTATATTAATAAAAAATAAAAACAAAATAAAACATTTTATTTTGATTCTTCTCCACTCTGTGATTAGACAAAAAGAGATCAGGACTGATATATCAGCTGAGTGTAATAGCACAAGACTACAACCCTAGCCACTGAGGAGAACCATTTGGTAAAGGCCAGCCTATATCAGAAAACCATATCAAAACAAAGTAAAACAAAACCCCCAAAAACCAGTTTGATGTATCTAGAGATAACAAAGAACTATTCAAAAAAGAGAGGTAAAAGGTACAGCTATCATGTTAATCTGGGCAAGAATATGTACTACAGTATTTAAAAGTGCTTTGTATATAGAAAGCACTCAGGAAACTGCAGTTTGCTAAAGAAAAGGGATGAAAGATTGAAGAAAATGCACTGAATTAAGAAAGTGTAAAATACGCAAAAGTAAGCAACTAAGGTTTTTTGTTGTTGTTGCTGTTGTCAAATGTTACACTGGATACATAAATCCAACGAAATCAAAGTGATTTAGTTACTCACCGCTTTCACTGTAGCCAGCCTGTCATTTGTAATCTGTTCTGTGTATTTTCTATATGCAGCATTTTTGGGGATTTGATCAAGAACATCAAGAATCTTCGTGTACAATATTCTTAGCCTCTGAGAAAACAAACCATATAAATTTCTATAGGTTAAAATATCACCAGACAAATAAAAGACTCTCATGATTTTTGAAAACATTTAACTCTTCTCTCCTGCAGTTTCTTCATGTCTATTGCTTATCCCCAATACACCTTAGAAAACATTTGAATATATGTGGAAACTCCTTTTGCAGGTTGTATATATAACAAAAGTTGTGCAGGTCAAAGGATTAATAATAAGCAGAAATAAAACTAACTTGCAGAAAATGACCTTTCTCAGAAATCAAATCATTTAGCAAATAAGCATATTTCAAATCACAGTCCTAGACACTGTAAATTCTTTAAATTCTTTTTTATATATTTTTCTTGTTTGAAATTCTGTAATTTTTTTTAAAAAAGTGTATGAAAACTTTAGGTTGCCAGCCATACTTGGGTGGTGAATATCAAACGTGTGAAGCGCTACTATTCATTAGTTAGGACGCACTGACTATCAGATTCTGCATCACAGGGCTCCCTGATGACCTTGAAAAGGGCAGTTCTAGCCAGAAGCGCGTAGAAGGGTTATAGGGGTAATAAAAGAGAAAGCGGAGATAATAAGCACTGATAACTCTTCTGAGTTATCTGTACAAGAAGAAAACTGATAACGTTCATTGAAGGAACAACAAGGGATCTGATTCTGTTTTTCTGTCTGACAGCACCTTAGGTAGATTCAAGAACATGCACTCAAGCCAGTTCCTAGGCAGTAACTTGATGTGGGGCAAGGACAGAAAAAGGAGCTGGATTTGATAAGGCTCACAGAATCGCGCCCGTCCCAAGGTCAAAGTCAACAAGAAAACAAGCGGCTGTGATTTGGGACTTGAAATACCATATCTCATTAGCCTTGACACAGACAAGATCACAGGCTTCTAGACTTCCTTGGAACTCAAGATGAAAGAAAGAGGTACATACCTCGTGTGGAGTCTCACATACCGCCAATCCCACAAGGCCAGTGGTCTGTTAAAAAATAAAGCACGACTCATAAATTGTTTACCATGGTTTCTAGGCGCTCCCCCCTCTTAAGGAAAAGCAAAACTACGATTCCCCAGGGTAAACAGGTCTAAGCCCCGCTACCGTCCTCCCAATGCCGCTTCTTCCGAGCCTTTCCGCTTCTGAGACAGAGCACAGACGCTACCCCCAGCACTCCGAGGGCAGCACAAAGCAAGTCGGCCGGATGCACCGCCGCGCCCGCGCGGGTCATGGCCATCACCCGCGTAAAGGGGACTGCAGACTGGCTCTACAGGCCAAACGTCAACGGCGACCTCCATTCGTCTCACCTTCTTCAGCACACCCGCCATGACAGCGCATATGAGCCAACAGAACTCTGCCCGCCGAGAACCTCATTCAGACCCGCTCAATCGACTGTCGAGGCCACAAGCCGTCACCTTGGAGACGGTTCGGCTCCACCCGCTCAGGATCTACGGAGGGAGCGAAGGCTCAGTCCCGCCCATCCCAAAAGGGAAGCATCGACGCGTGCGCACTGAGTACGCGCCGGTCGAGATCAGGTTTGGAGATAAGCAGGTGGAAAGTTTATGTGGAAAGTGTTTTGTGTTCCTTCAACCCGTCGAGACAGCTAAAGAGTCGTCAGACATAGTTGTTTTGTAGAAAAGTGTACTTACTCTGCTTAATCTTTAGTAATTTTATCTTCCGCAGTTATTAAAATGAGTTGTCTAATGTGGCTTGAGGATCATCTCAAGAGCTCTCGTCCGCAAAGATTAATTCATATCACAAGGATCAGTATTCTCTGCCTCTGAACCAATCAGCACGTAGTGCGAGGTGACATTCCATCGCTCTGTTGTATTTCGCTGCTTAAATTCATCTGTTTTCACGTTTTCCCAGAAGTGATCGCAAACAATATCGCTTTCTCCACTTACCCTCCGCGAGCATTCGTTATGTGTCAGTTCCAGAGACACAGTCTGTAACATAGGATTTCACCTTCTAGAAGTCACAGAATAATGCAAGCATGTATTAATAATGTGTTTACACATGTTCTAACAGAGCTTTGTCCAAAGTGCTCTGGTAGCAGGGACTAAGAAACGACTCACCAAAAATTGTGGGTGGCTGACATTAAAAATGGAATTTTCCAAAAAGTGAGGGTAAAGGGAGCATAACGAGTTGAGCGAGCACATAACTACAGTAGTTCTTCTACATCATTGTTTATATATAATAAACACACACATGTAAGATAGAAACTTCTTACCACACAGTAGTTGGTTATAGTTACACTCATGGCCTTGCATGCCATTCTGCAATTTGAATTTTACACCGTAGGAATGAAAGCAATTAGATAATTTTAAGTATCTGAATGACACTATCATAGTTGTGTTTCAGATACACAAGCAATTTGGTTAAGAGATGATAAAAATGAATTAGACAAGGTGAGGCAAGATTAGCGGTGTGAACTAGAAAACTAAAACAGCAAGCAGAAGAAAAATAAAGACTAGGGCAAAATCAAACAGAATGTCCTCAGGGAAAATGATTGAAACCTGCAGTTTGTTCCCTGCAGACTTACTGAGACGGGGTGGGGGTGGAGATGTTATAATAGAGGACAAAACTCGGTAACCATCAAAAATTTAAAAAGAAACATCCACATTCTTAAACAAATAAACAGGACTAAGAAGAAAAGCTATGAACAATTATATGCTAAAAACTTTGTTAACACAGATAAAATGAATAAATTGCTGGAAAGAAACAGACTTCCTAAATTGACTCAAAATTAAGTTTAAAAATTAAAACGAATATGAAAAAAAATCTAAGTTAGGGTAGAAGATATAGCTCAGTGGAAGAGCACTTCCTAGCATGTGTGAGGCTCTTTCAATCCCCACCAAAAACAAACGTCACACAAATTCAGTGGCTTTACTAGTAAATGCTACCAAACATTTAAAGAATACTGCTTCAGAAACTATTCTAAAAGTTTTAAGTTTTATGAGAACATTTTGTAATTCGTTCGTTGCATAAGATAAGAATTCTGATACTACACAGTTAAGTATAAGAAATAAAAATTCTAGATAAATATCCTTTGTGAATAGATGCAAAAACCATCAAAGGCAAAATACCTGCAGAATAAAATCACTAGCATGTAAAAATGAATTGGATTCCATGGTCAAGGGCATTTATTGCAAAATTGTGAAGTTGACTTCACACCCAAATATCAATTAATCATGTTCCATTTAATAGAATAAAATATAAAATGATATAATTTCAATAGGCATAGATAAAGCATTTGAAAAACATAATTTTTTATGTTTCTGTAGCCCCTCAAACTAGGAATAGAACAGAAATTCTCTGAACATTAGTAAGAAGAAAAATGTCCACTCTTACCATTTCTATTCAATATTTTATTTAGGCAGGGTGATTAGGCAAGAAAAGAGAATGGAAAAATGACATCCAGAATAGACAGAAATAAAATTATCTATTTACAGATCCATGATATAGAAATATTGTACACAGAAATATTAAGAAGCATGTATATATATATACACAAACATTTAATGCAAATATATTGACTAAGATTGAATTATACATGATCAGCAAGGATCAACTCAGACTGCCACAGCAAAATACCATAGACTGGGTGGCTGAAACAATAAAAACCTGTTTCTCACATTTCTTGATGCTAGGAAGTCCACATGAAGCCCTAAAAGGTAGATTTCATTCTGAGCCTGTTTCTCTTGGCATGCAGGTGGCTGAAATCACACCATATGTGCATGTTAAGCATGTGTGTCCCTTCCTACATTTAGAGTAATGGTGAAGGGCAAAAAGTATGAAAAGCACAGAAGGCCTTTCTCTCCTCTAAACCTAAGTATGTGTCAGAGCCCACCTGTGATAGTTAATTGTGATGTTAACTCAGATGGGTTAGGAAATGTCTGTCTGATCAGTGCAGCACAATTCTGGGTGCATCTGTGGATGACTGACTGAGGAGAGAAGACCCACTGGGATGTAGGTGGCAGCAATAGCCTATAGCCAGGATGGAATAAAAAGGTCAAGAAAAAGTCTTCCTTTTTGCTTCTTTGGGGGGTGCTCTAGTCTGTACCATCATCTTTGGATGCTGGCATCTAGTTTCTTCAGGTCCAGCACAGACTCCAGCCTACAACACATACCCTTCAGGTTCCTACTACAGACTCACACCAGACCCAGCAGTGGGTTCCACACCTTCACCTTTCAGACATTTGACCACATCCTCCAACTCTGCATCCTCCAGCTCTTCAGTCATTTTGCATTTTTCTACCCCTGACCGTAAGTGACCATTGTAAGCCTACTTTGTAAATCTATTTATATCGTATTATATTATATTATTACTTTTGTGAACCCTGATACATAGCATAACATACATACATACACACATACATACATAATGCAATTCATATACAAAAATATATTTTAGCAGTGAATAACCTGAAAAAGGGATTACAGAAACAATTCAATTTACAATGGCATTAGGACGAACAAGTATGTAGGGATAAATTCTAACAAAAAGAGTAATATTTGTAAACTGAAATATTTAATACATTGTTTAAAGCACTAAATTCCAATAAATTAATATTTTATATTTGTAAATGTGAAGATAATGTCCTAAGATAGCAATATTCCTAGAGTATATTTACACATATACTCACAAACATGCAAATACATATGTTTATAAACACATATAGATTTATTATAGGACTTGACCTACCTATATCATTGTAGAGGCTAAGAAATATCATATATTGCTCTCTGAATGCTGTGGACCCAGGAAAGCTAGTGGTACAATTCAGTTCAAGTCCAAAGTTCTGAGATACAGAGTAACCGAGGCATAAATAAATCACCATCAGATTTTGAAAGACCTAAAACTAACAGTACTACCATCCATGGACAGAAGAACATTGATATCCCAGCTCAAGCAAGACTAAATTCACTCTTCCTGTGCCTTGGACCCTCAATAGTTTGAATGCTATTCACCCATGTTGGTGAGAGTGATCTCCTTTGCCCTAGTTGATGAATTCAAATGCTAATCTCTTCTGCAAACACCTTCACAGACAGCAGGCACACCCAAAGCAATTATGTTTTATCAGCTATAAGCCCAGTATACTAAATCCTACATATGTATCTGTCCTATTGGTTCTGTTTCTCTGGAGAACCCTCATATTACAAATTGTGTCACCAAAAATATGTATGTTGTATGTACTTCAAAAAGTTCTTTAAAAGTAGTCATTGTGAATGTAATGAAATTAAAATGCAGTCAGTAGGGTTGGATCTAACATGGCTGGTATCTTTACTAAAACAGGAAATTGAAGAACAGACACACATGTACAAGGAAACTGCCATATGTGAAGGTTAAGACAGAGCTAGGATGATGCTTCTACAAACCAAGGATGCCAATGACTGGAAAGTTCAGCAATAGTCATGGAACAGATTCTCTCTCAACATTTAGAAGGAACAAATAACGCCATCATCGTTATTCAGAATTGTAGCCACTAGAAAGTTTCTATTATTTAAACCATTCAGTTTGTGAAACTTTACTACAGCAAATGTAATAAGTTTGCTTATATATTCCTCTCTTCATTATGATAACTATCCATAGATACACAATCATGGATACACAATATTTCTAGTCTTGACTACCTAAGAACAAGCCTTTCCATAATTTACTGGTTAATCTTGATGATCAACTTGGCTAGATTAAGTGATTGCTGGAGTGGCGATTGTATTGTTCATAGCTGAATGGGCTATCAGAAGGTAGGGCTTAGTTGGAGGAAGCAGGTACTGAAACCCCCACAGAGGGTTCAAGTCTCCCACCTGACAACATAGCACACAAAATAAAGACCCAGTAAGTTCTTCAGATCAGGAGCTCTGGGATGGCCAGTGTTCTCTGTGGAACAAAAGTTCATGGCTTTTATTGATACCAGTCAGGGAAGTGGAGGGGTCATGGCAGAGTGTTAGGGGAAAGAAACTTTGTGGATATTGGCTGTAATGAGAAACAGAACAATTTTATAACAGGCACAAAGTCTCTTTAATTAGCAAAATAACAGATTGATGTATGCAGGGCTGGCTCCTTCACTGCTAAGAAAGTATAATTTTTTTCTGAGTCAGCTGAGATATTACAATCTCACAGGCTCATGCTTGAGCCCCAGTTTTAGCCATTAGCAGCAGGGGACAATTCTCACCTGGACTTGACCACATATGAATATCAATTTCAGTATAGCCAGCTCTGCACATCTGAGTGAATAGGGTTGAAGGAGAGGTCAGGGGAGGCTGTCTTGGTTACTTTTCTCTCATTACTGAGACAATT